CACGGGAAAAACTAGTTTTTTTTTTTTTTTTTGCGCCTTTTTGTTTTGATTTTTATTTGTTCAAAGGCTTTTTATGCTACTGGTTATGCAGGACAATAGTGCTATGACATTTTATACAAGTTTAGGGGAAATATTATGAATGAAACTTACTTAACGACAAAAACAGTTGCTACGTCAATATCCTTACGAATCAAATAGCTGTAAATAATCTATAGTTGCCAGTAGGGCAGAGAACAAAATTCACGATTCGTTTCGATTTGGATTCACAAGCTTGCGATTTGATTCAATTCAATTCGATAGTGATTATTTTGAATATATATCAGGTACAGTACATGGCAAATTTTCTACTAATTTCTAGTTAACTAATACAAAATTAACTAATTTATACACAAACACTTAAATTACACTCAATGAAGTTTTTATAATAATAAAGTTATAATACTTACTTTACAATTACGTAATTATTTTTCTACTCCAAATCGTTTTTTGAAATATAAACATTTAAATGGTGGCTGTCATTAAAACTTGACGAATGTATTCAAACATAAATATTGAAGAACAGTAAAAATTATAATGAATATGTTGTATGGTGCTTCATTTTTCTAGCTGAAGTTTGTTTTTTCTGATGTAAATGTGACAGTATAACACAAGCTGTTATACTGACGTCTTTTGAAACACTGATTACATGAGACAGGAGACGGATTTCGGTAAGTTGTACTCTTTCTTTTAACACCTTCGGATGTTCATTCATGTTTATTTCGTGCTGAAACTGCTATTAAAGCGGAGGAGACGATCAGTTTGCGCTACCGCTTCTCTTCCACTCCACATTAAACAGCGCCAAAATGGTATTTGATTGAATATTGTAATAAAATGGACAAAATTCGAAATCTGAGACTTTGTTTGATATCAAAAGTAACAAAACACAAAGCTTATTGAGATTTATTGAATGGGAGGTGCGCAACAATGTTCCGTTCATTAATTGAAAACAGGTTAGACTAATTGATTCTTGGGATTTAAGAATCAATATTGTTTCAGAAAAATGAGAATCGATTAATATCGAGAAACCTATATTTTTTACCCAGCCCTAGTTGCCAGTAGATGCCAAGTTTTCTTGCAATTTTGTTATATTTATAGGTTCTTTTCATACACAAGAAGTGTGTTCAAACAGCAAAGGTAAAGAACAGCAGCCAGCAGGCTTATTCTGCACAGCTTCTCCAGAGTCCGGTTTGGTGAACCGGTTCAATTATTTCATCAAAAAGAACCGGTTCGAAAGAATGATTCGATCATGAACCAGACATCACTCTGGACCCATTGTCTGAGGCTCTGGATTTCAGGTAATAACGTTGTAAATAATGTTTGGTTTCTTGCACAGACTGATCGTTTCACTTCATAAGACCTTAATATATCATCAGGAGCCATGGGGATTCATTTTGTGTTTCTTGATATGCTTTTTAAATTTATTTTATGAATCACTAAGGACCACAGTTTCAGCTAAAAATCTTCTTTACTGTTCTGCTGAAGAAAAAAAGTCACCTACATCTTGGATGGCCTGAGAGTAAATTAAACAGCACATTTTCATTTTTGGGAGAACTATCCCTTTAAATTTAATATACAATTATCATAATGCAAGGCAAGCCTGTAGACTACAATTTGATTTGATTCATAAATTAAGCTATTTCAAACGGATCAAAGAGTTTTACTGCACTTCTTTACTCTTCTAGTTATTTACCTATAGCAGCTAATGTATTGGTAGTCTCACAGAAAAACCTAACTTTTGCAATGCAAAATAAGTTGGATACTTTGTACTTCAGAACTCAGCGAGACCATTATTGGCTTCATTAATCAGTGTAAAATGCTCTCCGCCACAGTAAGACAGCTGTACTGTTCTGCTTTGATAAGAGCCTCCTGAAACAAGCTGTGTCATTCGCTATGATGCTCTGTCTGGCAATAAACGCGTCCCATGAAGCCTGCTGAGCGGGATGTAGCAGGCTCAGTATGCAGCGCGCTGACCGCTGGGCTCAGCGGCCTGTGCAAAGTAAAGAGCTGATGTCTTTTGTGCGCTGTGTCAGTTGAATAATAAATGGTCTGTCCCTTTCTATCTGCCATTGACACAACCAGCACGCATGTGTCACAGAAGCTTCTACCTTTATGTAATGATTGATCCGCTCCACTGATGTAAAGCGGGCTTCGGTTTCAGAAAGCAGCCTCACGGTGAACTGAAACAGGCCGGTTAGCTGGATGTGGGAAGGGAAAGAAATGAGCAGTGAATAACAACTGAGCAATAGTGAGCAATGCTAATTAATCACGGCACAGTAACGGTCCTGCCTTACAAGCGTCCCCACTCATATACAGTATGTGAGAGCGGCGCACCTGTACGGCGTAGGAGATGGCCAGACCGGCGTAGGCAGGAGGAATGCGGCCGTGCATGAAGACGATGAGGAGGGCTATAGTGGTGATGAGAGAAATGCTGATGAGGTCCAGACGCACAGCCAGCCAGCGCATAGCACAGCTGAACAGATAGTGACACGCTTGGTGCCCCAATAAGCTTCTTGGGGCTTATTGCTTTTTAAAACCTTTAAAACCTAAAAGCCACTAGGTTTGGCATTTTTCATGATTTTCTGATGCAATGCCATTTGTGAGTGTGGCTTGAGCATTGTCTATGTGCCGTTTGAACTTTGTGCACACTTTCTGCGGCCACGGTGTATACAGACCTCAAGTAAAGTTTCACTTCAGTGTTTGTTTCAGAGAGAAAAGTTCTGCAAAGTCATGGAGGGCATTCTGCTGTGTGAATATTACCTGTGTATGAAGTCAGCTTTAAAATTATTTAGCATTTTATAAAATTAGTCTAGAAATTTTCACTCAGAATTTGCTAGTGAATTTTACAATTACAAATAAATGGCAAGAAAAAAACGTAATTAAACATGAAATTTAGGTAGAAAACTGAAATATAATTTTTTTTGGTAAAACATTCTACAATAGTTGTTTTATTTACAAATTTTTACAGTCTATGTATTAACTATGTATATATATATATGTATGTATGTATAATATATAAAATTAAACATTTAACTTATTAACTATTTATACACACACACACACACACATATATATATATATAATTAAACATTTAAATATTTAAATTATTAATATTTATTTAAATTAATATTTAAATTTCAAATAATATAAGATTTTGGTTAATACATAAAAACATTGTAAAACAACACAATTATATTATACATAGAGAATATAGAGATAATGTTTATTATCTTTATTATCTATAATGTTTTTGGCAGATTTGGAACACACATATTTGTTGATTAATCAGCCTGACCTATATATTTGGTTCTACTTTTTACAATGACTCAGCTCAACTGTTTGGCCCAATAAATCTGTAAGACCAAACCTGGAGATGCGGTTGACGATGAAGAGGAACGCCCCTAAAGGAATAATGGAGAACAGGAACCAGGGAAAGACAACGCCCACCATGCCCAGGCAGAACAGCACTAACGTCACATTCTGGAGCAGCATTTCGGCTTGCATCGCCAGACGCACGTCAACTACGCAAAGAGGAAGAACAGAGAGCGAACGTGTGAGAGAGCGAGACATCAAAACGCTTCGAGAAGCCCCCGTCATCCTGCATGTGAAAGGATTTGTGAAGAGAGAAAAAGAGAGGTTCCTCACCCTCATCCATGTCCCTGGAGAATCGGTTGAGAATGCGTCCCAGGGGTGTTGTGTCGAAAAAGCGCATGGGGCTCAGAAGTAGAGTCTTAAATAGTTTATCATGCAGAACCGAGGCTGCCCGCACAGTGCACTGCAAAAACAACAACAAAACAACACACACAACAGCGTTAATAATGCATGCACCCACACACAACAAATGCTAATAAATGGGCCGGTGATTAAAAAAACCTATACAATTCTTTAGTTAGGGTCCATAATGCAAATAAACAGGTCAGGGATGCACACAAACATTTACACAGCCATAATAGCTAGATTTATACGAGGGAAAACCTTGGCAAATATCCAGGAATGCTTCTGCTCTGTGAGGCTCTGCCTGAGACATCACACACATCCTCAGGAAAATAGGTGCATTTCCTACTTTGATAACAGATATTCACTGGAATAAAGACTTTGCACGGCCCATTTCAGAATGGCAAAAGAGCTTAAACAATGCTCACAGTTGTTCCCTCCTGATACATCTGGTTAGAAACAATAGATGATTTAAATTAAGAGGACAGAGACCGCTTCACTAGCTTTTTTGGTGCAAATTAAAGTTATTTAAACATATTTAATATCAGTGTTGACGAAAGTTACTTTTAAAAGTAATGCATAACTATGTTGCATTACTCCCTGGAAAAAAAGTAACTAATCGTGTTACTTTTTAAGGAAAGTAATGCATTACATTACTTTTGCGTTACTTTTTCTCGTCTGGGCTGGGCTTGCTTGTTTATTTTTAATATAAAAAAGTTCTATTTTTGGCAAATGTAAATGAATAAGCCTCAGGCTGAAGAATACATAAAAGGATTTTGTGAAGACATTTAATTATTGCAGGTTTGTGTAATATTCTGAGTTTGTATTTCATTGTTTTTATTCATTTTGAGGAATACTGAATCTGTTTAAATATGAGTAAATACAAGTGTATTGGTTAAGTGAAAATGTGTGTTGTTTGGAGGTCAGTAAGATTTTTTTTCCCCAAAGAAATTAATACTTTCATTTAGTGAGGATTTATTAAATTCAGAAGTGACAGTAAAGACATTGATAACGACTGGGTAAAAAGAGATTAGCCATCACCGAGGAATTAGTGAATACAAATGGCACACAATTACACAGACACATAACCTCTCTAATGTGCTGTCGGCTCTGCTTAATGGAGAAGAGGGCACGGGGTCCTGAGGGGACATGTATACTCAACCCTCCAGCTCAAAGTCAAGACACTGGACAGATAAATGGATTTAGCCTGCAGGCAATTTCAATTAAAGAGCAGAAAAAAATAGAGAAAAGCAGACACTATGTCATGGATTGCAGAGCAAGGATTCGGTGTGCCAATGAAACTGAAACTGAAGTACACTGTGCTCAGGGGTGTGCAATATTTCTCATGTACGATAATATTGTAATTGTTTTAACGATATGCGACCTGACGCTATTGAGTCACTCACAAGCAAAAAAACAAGCAAAAACACGTCTTGAGAGTCCAGAAGCATTGACTGTGTGATGAAGCCTATTAGAAGAACGCAGTTAAAATGACCCTATAATTCAAGTTATGAAAACAAAAAATGTATTTATAATATACGATATAGTTAAGTTATAATAACACACAGAAGAGTGCCACATCAGTGCGTGAGTGCGATTGCCAATGTGATATTGATTTTATAGTTCAACAAACAAGAAGTTAATATTGAGTAACACTTTAGACACAATATTGTCAGTTTGTCTCTGTTTCGCCAATGAAAAGCGGGAGCAGAACATTTGTGCGTCTCAGAGAAACTCTGCGGTGTTTCGTTTCTGAATGAATCTGTTTTTGAACGAATCATTGGAGTCAATGACTCAATGATCCATTCACTGAAATGGTCACTCGCTTTGTTTCTAAATAAATCACCCATTTTGAATGAATTGTTTGAATGAATGATTCAATGAATCACTCATTAAGACAGGGACTTGCTGCCACCTACTGGCGGTTTTAGTGTCGTATTTATTTAAGTACCCAGTGTTGGGGAAAGTTACTTTTAAAAGTAATGCCGTACAATATTGCGTTACTCCCTAAAAAAAAAACTAATAACATTACTTAGTTACTTTTTATGGAAAGTAATGTGTTATGTTACTTTTGCATTACTTTTAAAATCTGGGCTGGGCTTACTTGTTTGTTTTTAACATAAAAAAGTTATATTTTTGGCAAATGTAAAAGCCCTTTAACATTAAAAGTGAAATGAATAAGCCTGAAGGAAATGTAAATTCACGTCTGTACAGTAGAGGGCGCAGCTCAAACAAACCTTTCAGCTGGGCTGCCATTCTGCATTGCATGAAGAAAAGGATGCAAGAGAAGAAAGTTCAATACTCTTCGGCGATAAAATAAATAAACACATATATTATGTTTATCTGAAGTCATGCTTATTAGCATGGTTGAATTGGATCATCGAAGGTCAGCAGCAAAGACATTGAATACATTGGATTAAATACATAAAGGATATTTGTGTTATTTAACATATTTAATTAATGCAAGTTTGCGTCATATGAGTTTGCATTGTTTTTATTTATTTTGAGGAATGCTGAATCAGTTTTTTGTGTGATATGAGTAAATGCATGTTCACATTGAGTCTAGAACTACATCATGTTCACACAGTCTCTGCACTCACTCCTGATTTCTCTCAACATGAGGACAGGAGAGCTGTCAGTCAATACATGGGAAAGCAAAGTAACTGGATTTACTTACTTGAAAAAGTAACTCGGATATTTTCTTGTAAATTAAAAAGTAATGCATTACTTTACTAGTTACTTGAAAAAAGTAATCTGATTACGTAACTCACGTTACCCCAGACACTGAAATTACCAGCACAAAAACACACTAAGCAAATATCGTTTAATTATTGTTACCGGAAAAAAAATCCCAAAACATATCGAGATATCATTTTTTGTCAATGTCACAAATCCCTACACTGTGCTATGAGCGTGCCCTGTCAATAACATTCAGATTCCGCTTTGGGAAAAGGCATTAATTGTGATGCCCCCTTGACAGATTAACCTGGTTCTCTCAGGTAGATTCAGCCAGTGATGAATAGTGCATGAGTAAAGAGGAAATGCATCTGCCTAAGTACCTAAGTGTTTGATGAAAAATTCAGCTGTGTGTAATGGAGACAGGAAGCCTGAACAGAGGAATCTGGTGCGCTGACAAATAAACTCCAGATTACCTTGACGAACACCAGCCCTCGCACCGTCTTCAGGAAGAGCGCCGCCCCCATGGATAGGACGTACACCCTGGAGTAGTACTGTATGTGCGGATTCAGTCGCATGCTGTCGCTCTCGGCGGTCTCGTTCCCCTGCAGCAGCGAGGAATTCTGCAGGGACAAAAGAACATCACCTTGGAAACATGATCCATCCCTGGAGATTCCCAACAAACCATCTGAACTGCGTGCACGAGTCCCAGTCTCAATTATTTTACAGAATGTGAGTTAACTGCAACATCTGTTGCCGTGATTGTCCCTCTGAGTAAATCGTGTGGAGTCTGGCACTTCTAATTAGATTCGGGATTGATGTTCGTTTCGGCTAGGCATCAAAACTCGGCAATTAAAGCTGGTGGTTTGTCACCTTAAAGGAATAATTCACCCAAAAATAAAAACTGGCATCATTTTTTTTTTTTTTGTCGTTTTTGTCGTTCATGTCGTTTCCAAACATGTGAAGACTTACTTTCTTCTGTGAAACTCAAAATGAGAGATTCTGACCTGTTTCTGTTTTCCTTGCAATTATAACGAATGTGTAATGAAGCTTTCAAGCTTCAAAAAGAAGGACACAAAAGAACCAAAAAAAGTGTCATGGTCAATTTTAAAGGTTTTTTTTTTACTCTAAAATGTAAATTCTGTCATGATTTAGGCTACCCACCCTCTTGTCGTTCAGTTTCGTAAAACACAAATGAAGATGTTTTAATCAAATCTCTCTCTACAGAGAAAGTCTGTTCACCCAAAACTCTGATGCTTCAAAATGTTTGTAAAGAGATCAAATTAATAGATCCATATTAACTGAGCAGTTTAATCAAAGTCTTCTGAAGAGCAGGGCTGCCAGGTCTGGATGTTTTATTTGTAAGCATCATACTTTTTTTCTCTCATTTCAGTTAATCTCATAAAACTAGTGAGCTAAGCCAGTAGTAGTAAACATGGCTGAAGGAGCGAAGAGCGGAACAGACAAACCGATTCAATTGAGTGAGTCATTTACGCTGGAACTCCGGTTGATTCAAACTCAAGTGACTTCGATCATTCAGTTCAAGCGATTCACAAGCAAAAACCAGTTCAAAAGAGTCTTTCAGTTTCTAATTTCGATGTATTTGAAATGCTGTAAACATGATGACAGAATTTTCATTTTGCGGTGAACTAACCCTTTAAGCTATTATTCACGAAATAATTGAAATCCACCCTAATTCTCTGTTGCACATTGATGAAAGACAAATGATTCTTTTGAGTCAGATCATGTCAATGCATAGGATGACGGGAATGATTCATTCAATGATTCGTTCATACTGATCAGAATTTCTCTTTTTGTTTTCCACAGAAGAAAAAGTGAGTTAAGTGAAGATGAGTGAGTTGTTATTGTTGGCTGAATCATCCCTTGGTCTTACCCCGCTGCCTTGCCCGATCCAGTGACTGAGCCACCAGTTGCTGAAGGCGATGCTGCCGGTGGTGAAGAGGAAGAGGAGGATGTTTACGATGAAGGCCAGAGGCCCTCCGGCAGCCTTGATGTAAGTAGTGTACACTTGCCAGGCCACGGCCCCGCTCCCCTTTTCCTCCGCCTGCATGAGCTGATCTGTGAGGGGCACATCAGACCACAGAAAGAGAGAAGAACAACAAAGAAGTGACTCATCACCGACTGTCAAACCTACACTTCCCAAAAGAGGTCACGTGGTGGCAAAGGACTGGAATAAATGATTGTGCCAAACACAATGTGTTTTTGCAATTAATTACTGATAAAAATTCATAGTGTATACATATTGTATATTTATATTTTAATGTATTTTAATATGTTACATTAACATTAACACACATGCACACACACAATGCAATTTTGTAAATTTTAATGTAAATATAAATTTGTAATCAACATATATATACACACACACACACACACACACACACATATATATATATATAATGTATTTATAAATATGAATATATTTATAATAAATTAACAATGAACAAAAATGCATCAACACAAAACATGACAATCTGAACAGGTAAAAAAAATGCATATGCAGTTTCTGCTATTTTCAATGTTTTTTGTTTTTGTTTTTTGGGGTAGTATGTTAATAGTTATTATAATGAATCTCCACAGTCATCCAATACAGAACTGAAGTCCTGAAGAAAAAGCAGATGAGAAGCACTGGATTAAACCCTCCTCACCTCCTTTCTTGCTCTCAGTATGTGGTTTGGCTGCAGGGCTGACATGCAGGGACCGCGGGCTGCTCTCCTCCACGGCCCTCTGCTTGTTTTTCAGGTTCTTCCTCACTAGGTTCTGGATAAAAGATGAAGAAAAAGAGAAAGAGCGAGACCTGGTAAAGAGCAGCCTGCAACTGATTAACAGAACAAATCAGCCAGAACAATGGCTGCTGGGTCATTAATACAGAGATCAGTGACAATGTCCTTCGGCTGTTACTCCTACAGATCAATTCATTTATAAATGACAAAAGCACGGCATGAATTAACATTTCAAATCCAGTGGCTCTGCAGCCCGTGGTTCATGCATTTTGCAGAGGGTGATGTAGGATGTTTTGTGAACGTGTGACCCTGGTGTTTTCCCATAGGGCGGCGCATCGCACCTCTTGCTGCACGCTGTTGAAAAGGGCAGCGTAGTCTCGGCCTTTCTCCATCAGCTGGACGTGTGTGCCGTGCTCTGCTATCTGACCGTCCTTCATTAACACCACCTCATCACACTCAGGCAAGAACTGCAGAATAAACACACCCGCGGGAACGGACACAGAGCGTCACAAAATACCGTGAGGAGGCCTTATGTTACATTAACCTATTAATATCACATTAGAAGTCATTTGCTCATTAAATAAAAAATTTTAAGAGACAATTTTGTGTTTTAAAATTTTTTATATGGGATGCATGACATGCCATCATTAATCTTTTTTTTATTTTTTATATATTTATTAAGATTTTTTTATTTATCAGTAACAGTAAATATCGGATATATCCCCAAGCATTTTAATATCATATTAACAGTAAATGTTAGTAACATATCAGTAACAGTAAATATTGGACATATTATAAGTATTAGATAAATATTTATTAAGCATATTAATATCATATTAGATTCATTTGCTCAATAATAAAAAGGTTTTAAGGGAAATTTTTGTGTCTTTAAAAATTTTAATAGGAATGCATGATATTCCATCACTTATCAATAATTTTTTTTTAATGTTTATTATGATTTTTTATTGATCAGTAACAGTAAATATTGGATATATATCATCATATATGTTTTAAATCGTGCTTTTGGATTTTTTTAAAATTTCCTCTACTTTTTCCTTTTTAGATTACCTATCCGCCATGTAATGCCCACTTAAAACATAAAAAAAAAAATGTTATAATGTTATGGCATTAAATCTCATTATAATGTTATGGCATTAAAAATGACTAATTTTAGTTTTTTGTTTATAAAATATTTGTTTATATATGTACATATAAAATTCAGACATGACAGAATAGAATTTTCATCTGCCATTTATCAGAAGTTTTACTGTTAACTATTAAAAATGGTTTGTTAATTGGAATAAAGCTGAAATAAAATAAAATATAAATATAAAGGAAATATAAATAATATACAATTAAAAAAAAAAACTTCAATGAAAATTAGAAGTGCTGCCTTGGCAACTAACCGAAATAAATTAAGTTGAAGTTGAAGTACTAAAAGTGAAATAATAATTAAAAAAACATAAATAAATAAAAAAGACAAAAGCAAGTGACAAAATTACTAAAACTTAAACCAAAATGAATATGAAATCTGAAAATATAAAAATACTAAAGTCTTAATACTAAAATAACAACTACAAAAATAATGAAACGACAATATAACAATAAATGTGTATTTGGCGTATTGGCCTAAATTCTAATTGGTTTTTAAAATATTTGATAAGTGCATTAAGGCATTTAAAGCCATGCTGTGTTATAGTCATGACTGAAGGGACTGCCTAACAACAGCCTTTGCAATAAAACACAGCCTCTCGTGCGAACCGTATTCAATCCACAAACTTATATAAAGGATGAGCACAATGTCTCCTGTCCCAGTCTGTGCTGTGTCTATGCGGTACATCACATGCATTCATAGCCTCTTGCCTGCAGCTGGTGTGTGACAAAGATGACAGTCCTGCTCTTGGCTGCACGGCGGATGGCGCTGTGGAATAGGTGCGATCCCACGCGAGCGTCGACGGCGCTGAGGGGGTCATCGAGCAGAAGGACGGGTCTCTCGCTGTACAGCGCACGGGCCAGACTCACTCTCTGCCGCTGACCGCCGCTCAGATTGGCTCCTCTCTCTCCTATCTACAGCAGATCATTCACTTCAGCCACACTAATCATCACACTGCATTTGTTTCAACGGCAAACTAATAGAGATATCATACGAGTGAGATTTGAACGACCTTGTGCTTTGATTGTGTTTGTCGAGGTCAGAGATTATATTATGAGCGTTATAATACCTCAGTCATATCGCCATATGGCAGCTCAATAATATCAGGAAATAAACAGCAGGCTTCCAGAACTGCGTTGTACCTGGTGAGAGATGAGCACAAAACTTGTTTAATTTTAGAAGAAAGGCCAAAGTCATTTTTATGCAGAACTCGTATATGCATGAATACACTCCGTACTTCTCCTCAATGTATTTTCTTCCAAACAGGATGTTCTCCCTGAGGGAATCGTTGAGGATCCAGGCCTGTTGAGCAACATATGCGAAGTCTCCGTTTATAGCTACTGAGCCGCCAAGAAGGGTCATCTAGACAGAAGGCGGAGAATCAGACCTATACATCTGCTTTCGTCCTGCTGAGGGGACCAGCTGCTTTATGTCCAGGCTGCTTTATGATGGTTAAAGGGGTGGTTATAAAAAATCAAGGTTTTTCATTATTTACTCTAATTTCGTGCCAAACCCATATGCTGTTATTTTCTCAGTGGAACTCATAAAGAGAAACGCTCATCCTTTCTCTAAAACAACAGCTGTCCAGCTCCAAAAAGAACATATACCTATACACTCTAAAAAATGCTGGGTTAAATATAACCCAGCGCTGGGTTAAAAAGGGACGAACCCAGCAGTTGGGTTGTTTTGAACCCAACCTCTGGGTCAAAACAACCCAACCGCTGGGTTATATTTAACCCAGCATTTTTTAGAGTGTAACATTGTACCATATGTCTTGTATGATAGTCTTCCAAAGACACTGAAAGTTAAGGCATTATTCACTGATGATCCTCCTTTCTATGTCTATTGTGATTACAGCCTTGATATAAATACATAAAACAGAGCATTATGCATAGTTAAAAGTTTTAACCATTGAAAGATTATGGTTGCTAACATTTTTTTTTTAATAAACAAGTCTCTTATGCTCACAAAGGATGTTTATTTGATCAAAAATACAATAAAAACAGTAATATTATGAAATATTATTACAATTTGAAAAAACTGTTTTCTATGTGAATATAATTTATTTCTGTGATCAAAGCTGAATTTTCAGCATCATTACTCCAGTCTTCAGTGTCACATGATCTTCAGAAATCATTCTAATATGCTGATTTGCTGCTTAACAAACATTTCAATTATTGTTAATGTTGAAAACAGTTGTGCTGCTTCATATTTTTGTGGAAAAATTGATACTTTTTTTTAGGATTCTTTGATGAATAGAAGTTCAAAAGAGCAGCATTTATTTGAAATAGAAAACTTTAAAAATGTTTTTACTGTCATTTTTGACCAATGTAATGCATCCTCCCTGAATGTAAGTATTAATATCTTTCTTTCTTTCTTCAAACAAACAAACAAACAAAACACACACCATTCTCTCTGACCCCAATCTTTTGAACAGTAGTGCGTGTAATTTCTCACCTGTCCCAGTAGAGCAGATAGCAGCGAGCTCTTTCCACTGCCGACTCCTCCACAAACCCCAACCAGTGACCCCTGGTGTACAGCGCAGAAAGCAGGCCAGCAAATTACGTCACAGAGATTTTATGGCAGTAGAGTTAGTTATGACTAGTTCTACATAAACGCTGTATTCATGAACTGTTTGCTGCATGCAACACTTGAGCATCCCATGAAAACCTCGTTTTTGTCTGAATATGATGAGAAATGTTGAAAACCCATCTGACCTTTGACACTGTGCTATGCAGCAATCGTAAAACCGCGCATGATGTATCGCAGTACCTTCCGGATGCAGAGGTCTATGCGGTGCAGGGTTTTGTGCAGCGGAGGTCGGATGCTCTGTGTGGAGGAGATGGTGCTCTGTGGGCTCTCCTGCTCCATGTGTGTGAGGAGGTGCTCTGCGTTGGCTTCCTCGCTCTCCCCTTTGCTGTCCTCTGTGGTGATGTACAAGCTCAGCTTCTCCCTCCTCAAAACCCTCTTCATGCCTCCTCTTTTCTGCTGGGCTCGGCTCTTTCTCCCCTGTGAGCCGCTGGTCTTCTCCCAGGCCAGTGTGGCGTCTTTAAACTCCACCGCATTATAGGGATCTTCCGTTTTGTTTGAGATCAGCTCCCTGTCCTCCATCAAGAAGAGCTTCTGTGGGCGCAATAGGAGGCATTAAAGGGATGGTTCACCCAGAAATTTTTGCCATCATTTACTCACCCTCATGTTGTTTCAAACCAAACAGTTGCTGGTCCCCATTGACTTCCATAGTATTTTTTTTTTTCTCCATACTATGGAAGTCAAAGGGGTCCAGCAACTGTCTGGTTTCCACCATTCTTCTTTCGTGTTCAACAGAGGAAAGAAACTAATACAGGTTTGGAACAACATGAGGGTGAGTAAATGATGACGAAATGTTCATTTTAGGGTGAACTATCCCTTTAAATCAGGGAATCCCAAACTTGTTTAGTAAACACTTTGAAGGAAACGTTCTCCCATAAGAAAAAAAAAAGTGTCATAATTTACTCTCCATGATGTTGTTCCAAACCTGAATGACTTTCTGTGAACACATAAGGAGAAATATTGCAGAATATCTATATCTTAATTATTATAAAAGTGAATGTGGACTGGGACCGTTTATGGTCCCCATTGACTTCCACAGTATGGAAAAAACAATTACATGGAAGTCAATGGGAATCATTAACCGTTTGTTCAACAACATTCTTCAAAATATGTTCTTTTATGTTCCACAGAAGAAAGAAACTCATACAGGATTGAGTAAGGGGCCGTTCACACATAACTCGTTTTTCTATTCCAGTGCACTACTTTTCCATTGTTTTTCTATGTAAACGCACTGGACGGACGTGTATGACAGTTGTGCTCGAGTCTCGTGTCATCACCTGAGTGCCTCGTTTTTAAGACGGCATGTCAAGTTAAAATAATTTCAACTTTTACAGGCAGCGCCACTCATCAATGTCAGTTCCGAAACAGTGGACCAATCAGAAGAACCGGAGGTGGAGCAAAGCTTTTGTTTACAGTAGCAAGTTGGCATGCTAACTGTTTTATTTGACCAAACATGGCAGAGGAGGCATTCTGCACTGTGTTTTTTTAAAACCATTCATGAGCGCTGCGTCTCGCGTTTTTAGACGCAAAGATGTGTTCTGGGTGAACGGCCCCTAAATGATGACAGAATGTTCATTTTTGGATTAACTGTTACTTTAAGGTCCCACATATCATCAAAGTAGCCCAGTGCAAAATCTAAAAAATAAATAATAATAAAGTTTGCATGTGTTGATGAGTGAGATCATCATCAGCATATGTGAGATCTTTAGTAAGATCTCAGTAAATGTTCATCTTGAAATACTACTAAAAATATACATTTTATTCATTCTTACATTTACTTTATAAAAACCAGTAAAGATTTAACAGCAAAAAGACACATGAACCTTGTCCTGAAAACTGAATTATACTAATAGGCCTTTTACTTGATAAAAAGTATCAGTCAGAAGACAGAAGTCATGCAGTAAATTATAAATATTGTTTTGATCATCTTGATCATTTAGAGGACTTGATACAGTAAATAATTTTTCAGTGTTATACTATCGCACAGCTTCAGAAAACTTATATATATATATATACCAATTTTATTATACATTTATGGTGCTTTTTGTCATTTTTGGAGTCCCAGTCCCTGTTTGTTCAGTGCATTGGAAAAGAGCTGCGTGGATAATCTTCAAATGTTCTCCTTTTGCGATCTACTGAAATTAATTCACGTTTGAAAAAACATGAGGGTGAGAAAATAATGGCGGAACAGTAATTTTTGGTTCGTTTGTGGATGTGGATGTGTTTTTGACCTGAAATCTTTTCACGGCCACGGAGCCTTCGGATAAAGCACGCACCGCCAAGGGCGTGACCTTTAGAGCAAAGGTCATGGAGTTGAAAACAGCAACGATGGTGAAGGCCTGCAGGTCGTGACAGAAATGAAAACAGGGCTCTGTGAGTTCAGGTTCGAGGTTGTTTACGAGCCTCGGGCAGAAAGCGGACAGCACTAGCACGGCTTTACCTGTGCTGCGGTGAGATCATAGCCCAGAGCCATGTGAAGAGTGAACGTGCACACGCTGGCTATCACCACCACCACTGGAGCCACACCCACCGTCAGGCTCTGAACACAGCCGGCCCTCTCCAGGATCCTCCTCTCTTCTGATCGAACCCCTGCAGACACACAGGAGTCGTCAAAGAAGCAAGAGTTGTTTTATGTGGTGTGACTCTCTAAATGTCCTGGGGCCAGTTGCATGAACTGCTTAGACTAGTCTTACAAGTTAGTCATCCAGTTTTTTCATTAAGACTGGACTAATTTGAATCTTAATAGTAAGACAGATTAACCCTTGGCTAACTTAACCTATCTGGTCAGACTAGTTTTTAAGAAAAGGTGCTGTATGTAATTTTTTGACTGTATTAAAGCAAATAATAAGTTTGCAGATATTTAGAAAAGTTCACATACTCGTTTCTCTGAAAAACAATGCTACAGCCAGTTATTCTGCTCTGAAATGTGCGTTCAGTGTCGGAATGTCTGTTTTTGTTTTGCTCTGTGTGACTCCGCCCACTGCCAGTTTATCCAATAGGATTTCAACACCCCGGGTTGCCAGTTGGTGGAAAACACAGCGTATTGTAGCATGAAAGCCAGCAAACGAACTGAGTCAGAGATCACAGATTCAAAAAAGGCCTAAAAGCCTCGGCATCCATCTAAACAACTCTATGACCAGAGGAATATTAATACACGGATAAATCATATCAGATATGGTACAGTAGGCTTTAGGATTAAATTATTTTCAGTGTTACTCACACTATCGCACGGCTTCAGAAGACTTGTTATGTGGACCACTTTTATAATACATTTATGGTTCTATTCTATTTTGCATTTTCCATTTTAATTATCAAAATAACAACTTGAAATTTGCAAAACATTTAATTGATGAATTTAGTTTATTTCATCAGACTCTATGTCAGCATTTCGATTCAATTATAGACGACGCTCTCAAAATGTAGTTGTGACTCCTGAAGATTTAAGGCAGCCACTTTTATATAATGTATTAGTTATTCTCTTTTAAAACTGAACTGTGTATGAACAGAACCATATTTAGCGCTCCAAACAAGACGGAAAACCTGCTGTGTGAATGTAGCCATATTGTGTTTCCAATCCTACAACACAGTTTCTAATTTACAGGAGCCTCACTACGTTCAATCCGGCAGCAACACTGAGAAGTGCAACTGTAATGGAAGAGAGATCATAATCATAAATGGGATGTTGCAGTAGATGGGGATGCTGAGGCACTGGCTGGTGTCCAAGTGTCCCATTTCACCTCCCTCTGCTGCACTAATATTTGCCTCGCGACTGCCTGCGAGCTGGCACATTCATTCAGCGCCGCTCTCTGGCTTACAGCCAAAGTGTTTTGCTGCTGGTCTAAACAACCAGAAGCGCTGGACGTAATCTCTGAAAACTTTGCTGGATCTTCATAATTCATATATAGAAGATGTTAATCTATGCAGGTTGTGATATTTTATTTATAAGTGCATGCAAAAAAGGTTTAAACAGAAGATTTACTGCTCATTTACTGCTCAGCTACATAAAATGGATCACTGGAGCAGTACATCCCAGTTTAAAGGGTTAAATGATCCGTTTTTTTCCCATATACAGCGTCCTAAAAAGTTTTTTAAGACACAACTTACATGGTACTTGGTTAGATATTTCGTTATACAATGACGTTAAAGAAAGGATAGTATGAGCGCACTTTTCAAGCAAAACATTTTACAGAAAGAGGTTTTGAATTAAAAACTGATGAATAAATATACTGTTCAAAATGAAGGTTTATATCATGAACTACACCTGTGATTCCTCCACTACACTCTAAAAAATGCTGGGTTAAATACAACCCAGTGCTGGGTAAAATAGGGACAAACCCAGCAATTGGGTTGTTTTGACCCAGCGGTTGGGTTAAATGTTTAACCCAACCTAGTAGCCCAACCGCTGGGTCAAAACAACCCAATTGCTGGGTTTGTCCCTATTTTACCCAGCACTGGGTTGTATTTAACCCAGCATTTTTTAGAGTGTAGTGGAGGAATCACAGGTGTAGATTTCATATTTTGCATCCTCTGCAATGAAGTTCATATATTTTTAAGGGTGATTTAAGTGTCTGAATACTATTTGAGGAAACTCTACCATTCAAAATCTGGGGTTGGTAAGATTTGTTGCTAAAACTTGACAAAAAGGTTCCATTTGTTAACTATATTTAATGCATTAACTAACAATGAGCAACACGTTTATTACAGTATTAATTAATCTTTGTTAATGTTAGTTAATAAAAATACAGCTGTTCATTGTTAGTCCATGTTAGCTCAGGTCTATTAAATAACTTCAATAGAACCACGTTTTAATTGTAATAATGCAATAGTAAATGTGGGAATAAACATTAACTAAAATTAATAAATGTTTTAGAAGTATTTTTCATTGTTAGTTTATGTTAACTAATGTAGCTAACTAATGTTAACAAATGGAAGGAACCTTATTGTAAAGTGTTACAGATCTTTTAAATGTATTTGAAAGCACCCCCAAGGCTGCATTTATTTGATCAAAAATACAGTTAAAAGTTATATTGTGAAATATTATTATAATAAATCACAATATAATTCAAAATCATTCTAATACGCCGATTTGCTGCAAAAGAAACTTCTAATTATCAATGTTAAAAACAGTATTTTTTGTGAAAACCATGATACATTTTTTTCAGAATTCTTTGATGAATAGAATGTTAAAAAGAACAGTATTTATTTGAAATGGAAATCTTTTGTAACATTATAAATATATTTACTGTCGTTTTTGATCAATTTAATGCACCCTTGCTGAATAAAAGCATT